TATGTTCAAAGCTTGAATTTATGGCTTCTCCTTCTGGCATGCCACCAGAGCTCGTCACTACACTTAAACTGAGCAGCATTCAGCTGAATTTATCTGACAAGTTTTCCTGCTGTTATCGGATGTTGGTGCCCCACACCGGGACCAGGCAAGACATGATAAGAAATATATGGCCTTAGATGTCATATATGATTAAATGAAAGTGGTCAGTTTGATGGTATATTATCACTGAAAAAAAAGTTTTATTCATTTCAGAAGAAGAAGAGAAACCTACCCAGACATTGAATCATAACATATGTACACCATTGTGCATAATTGAAACAAAATCAGTAAAAGCGTACATACATAAGAAATGGGAAGGACACATCAATATTGAGTGAAATCGAGAAAGATTTCGTGCAACGGAAGTTTATTTGGGTAGTTATAAACAAAAATGTCACATGTCATATATTTTGTCTTTACTCCACAACGCAATTAAACTTAAGGTACTCCTGCAGTTGCTCCCTCGAAAAAATGAGCGACTACTTGAGCCTATGCGCAAGGGATGGTGAACAGATCTCGACCCCCACATGCAAAATTTCGTGCCACCGCTCTTTCCTGTGCAATTTTCTAGATTTGTTTTTCAAGTAACCTCCTCAAAAGCATCAGTATTTTATCAACCACTTTTAATCTAATTTTTTTAATTGTACAGAGTGTGGTTTCAGTACCACCAATTGCAATTGGACAGGTAAGCAATATGTAACAACTCACTCAAATGTATCTTCTCGTACCCTTGTTTCTGGGCCATGTGTTCTTTCTTAGGATGTTGCACAAGGGCAATCTGTTTCACTATTAATGTACTAGATGTACGTCAGGTTATATTCTTGTATATTTCTATAGAGAGAAACTGCAAAAACCAAATCCCAATCTCCCAATCATCAGGAATTTGACGATAGGATAAATGGAGGGTGTACTGTCAATGATTGTGTTGTTTTTAGAAAAGTTCTTTTATATTATATTGCGAGAATGAATTTACTGATTCGAGAGGTCCGAGTGCTTCTTTAGTATGTTTTTCCAGGGTGGGATTGTTTGTGCACAGTGCACAGTGTTGAGTTATTAGGGAATAGAGAATCTATGTGAAGAGGTGAAAGTTGTGTAATAAGTATTTGAGAGTTGAATAAGAAATAGTTGAAGCAGCTTGTGTAAAGTGTGGCTTTTACGTGATTTCTTTGAACTGATGGGGTGTTTAAATGATTCTTTCTTTTTTTACAAAGTGTGGGGTTTACATGTGGTTCAATTGTACTAAGCCTGGTCTTTATATGTCTCCTTTGTACTAAGTGTGGCGTTTTCATGATTCGTTTGTACTAAGTGTAACGTTTACATGATTTATTCGTATAGGATGTGGCGTTTACACGATTCTTTCTTACTAGATGTGGCGTTTACAAGATTCCTTTCTATCAAGTGTGGTGTTTACATGATACCTTTCTACTAAGTGTGGCATTTACATGATTCCTTTGTACTAAGTGTTGTGTTTACATGAATCCTTTCTACTAAGTTTGGTGTTTACATGATTCATTCCTACTATGTAAGGTGTTTACATGATTCTTTTCTATCAAGTGTGGTGTTTACATGATTCCTTTCTACTAAGTGTGGCATTTACATGATTCCTTTGTACTTAGTGTAGCGTTTACATGATTTCTTTCTACTAAGTAATGTTTTCATGATTCTTTTTTACTAGATGCTGCGTTTACATGACTCCTTTATATTAAGTGTAGCGTTTACATGATTCCTTTCTATTAAGTGTAGCGTTTACATGATTCCTTTCTACTAAGTAATGTTTTCATGATTCCTTTTTACTAGACGTTGCGTTTACATGATTACTTAGTATTAAGTGTGGCGTTTACATGATTCCTTTCTACTAGATGTATTATTAAATCAACGTGATTTACAAAATGCTATCAGATACATATTCTATTCTATGAGTTTATTTTCATTTATTTATTTATGAATTGCACTCTCTAGTATACTACCCTAAATTACCCTACTACTAGATATGTACCAATACGTCGCATGAGAAAATCGTTCAACAAACAAGCTGATCTCTGATTGGTCTGGGTTAGGTAGCCAATCGGGCACAGTCTTGCAAGTATCTTCACATTGATTGTAAAGCCTTCCTCAAGCCCCCTGACCTGAACAGGGTCATATACAGGGTTAGGGTTATGGGTGATGGGCCCTAAAGGAGTCTTTCCAAATTTGGTGAACAAAAAGTAAATCAGACAAAAAATCTATGTCATAAATTGCGAGCAGCAATAAATCCTGAAATAGATTAAGGGCTGAACGTGTGAAAATAGGGCATGGACTTCGTATTTTTCATTATTGTCTCATTATCCATGTTTTAATTGATGTCATAATTAAGACTTCACTTTTATTTGAAAATGAATTTACATTTACATTCCTAATATTCATTTCAAAACGGATTTGCATTTCAATTTTACTTTTTGATTTGCAATTTCACTTCAGATTCCAATTTGAAATTCTATTTTCATTTGTTGTGTCATTTGATCCCTGACCTTTGACATATTACCTCATCCAATAGGATGACACATTCTTTGCAGATGTGAACTCATCGCATCACTAATCAAGTTGCTTGTATTTAGCTTTAATACATTTTACACCTGAATAACTCTTTAATTACATATTTTTTTAATATGTAGTGAATGTATTTCCATACAAGTGACTTTTAAATATAAATGTTATATAGCAATTGGTTTTCTACCCAACTCCATTCAGTTCAAAGTATGGACCATTGTCTGTTTCAAGATACAATTTTGCTCACTATTAATATTTACAAGGATTTTTTATAGTGAGGGCAAAATTATGACTTGCAAAATGTTGCTCACGATAATATCTTCGTGTACTCCATATTGTTGAAAACTTTGTAATCACTCGCTTAATTACTATGTTGTATATTTATCGTTACATTTGCACCTATTTCAATTGCAAACAGTCACGCCTGCAATCATTGAAGCCATTTCTGCCTTCGTGTGCGAACCTGGAAGAAGACACATCCTTGTACTTCAGATATGACATTTATGCATTTTTAATGAGATCACATAATCATACAAGACCATATATGGTTATATGTTGACATATAAGCGCTTAGTACGGGTTATTTCGTCGAGTCAGTCCTATATAAGACCTATAAGGCTATACAACTTTGTATTATGTCGCTTGCTGGTTCCATTCCAGTCTGTTTGTACTGATATAGGCTGTCGTAAATACAATACTTCATTACTATACTCAACCAAATTTCACTATTTTGTTTAGTCTGACACAACACCCTCTCTCATCATCCCAATATTCCGACCCCTCTCTCCACCCCCACCCCCATTATAAAGGTCAGTACAAATCGAGCTATGTACCACTTGGGTACACGGCGACCTTTTGGAATGTTGGCTCGCGGTTATTGCCCTCACACTGACCTATATACGTGTATATGGACATTAGGTCGCCGCACTTGTTTACAAAATCATGAATAGATGCAGGAAATTTGATTTGCGGCGGCGGAGTAGGGGTCCTTAAAACTACGTCATTGCGTAATGCATTATGGAAGAATTTATGCATAGATTCTCAGAAGTAAATCTTCGCGAATTGTCAGTAAACGTTCAGAGGGGGGTTAGCCTTGACTTGAGTACCAATCGATTAGATTTTATGAGAGATCTGGTTTCGGTTGTCATGGAGACAACATTTTTATTGGAGGATTCTTCAACATCGTCAGTCAGAACATGAGTAAATGATCGATTCAAGACTCAATTGAAATTGAAACCTTACTTCAACATGATAAACGTGTTTTGTCATAGAAGACATTAATAGAAAAGGTTACCTTTGTAAATTCACCAATGAAAATCATCAATTTCACCAAACGAAATATAAATAAATAAATAAATAAATAAATAAATAAATAAATAAATAAATAAATAAATAAATAAATTAGATAATTAATTAATTAATTAATTAATTAATAATTAATTAATTAATTAATTAAAGATCATAACATAACCATCCAAGCACTGATATTCTATGTGTATATGTGATAAAAATCTGTGAGTAAATGTCGCGGGTGGGCATAATCTAGATAATGCCCTGCAATTGGTCAGATAATGACCGCGAGAACAAAGAGATAGATCACTAGTCGTGTTCATGCGTGTTCGCATACCGAAATGAATTAGTAGTAAATCTTCCAGATGAGAATCGAATGCAGTTGCGTACTGGGCGCTTAGCCCGAGCTAAGCTTTCGCGCACACTTCGTTAGCCCATATAAGGATCTGCACCGGGTCTTAAAAACAGATCAGATTTAACCCGTACTTAGTAGAGAGTTTAAGATTTTCACAGAGCACGACGTACTTTCAGTAGATGCAGTCAACCACCATAGTATAATGCTCTACACTATATCTGTAGAGTTAGGGGTGCCAGGTGTGTCCTCATGTGACTCTTGTGACCCCAGTCTCATATACTCAAATTAGCATATTATGTGCGGAAAATACGTTGAGTTCGATGTTGCTGCTCATGGCGGTTCGTTTATTTAAAACAACCCGGAGTGTGTAGTTAAGCTTGCCGTCATACAGTTATACTGAGTGTTATTTTTTTATCCTATCTCGGTCGTGGATCCCGAAACAGCTTCGTATCGACAGAAAACACCAGTGACAGTGTCTCCAGAACCATCTCCTGATCTACGAGCAGGCTTCTGTATGTTGGCGTTTATGCAGACGCTCTATGATACTACTATTGCGCTTGTTGTTGAATAATACACCAAAACAATTTCGTTTCGTATTGATCTCCGGTTGAAAAGATTCAAACCGCACCGGACCTTCGCTCAGGTTGTCACCCCAGTGAAGCCTCTCCTTCATTCGTGGCTCCCGCTTTTCTGTGGCGGTATCGATGACCAGACCACGTACCGTGTGTTGATCGAACAAAGTAGTTATTTCAATAATTATATTTTTATTGTGTGATATACATTCTTCAACATGGACTTCAGTTTGACACATATACGGAGAAGTAAGTCGACATCGTCATCGCCGACGACTAGCAGTTTTGATCCACTTTCGACCATATCTCGAAACGGCGTCGAGCTGACAACAACATCGACCCCATCGTCGTCCACATCTCTGTTATCGCCACAATTGACGTCGTTGGGTTCACAGCGACAGCATATTTCGTCGTCAACACATCAGCCGTCAGATGGAGGCAGTGGCGCAAACCAGAAAATGCTGCCTGGGACTAGTTCTGAGTCAAAGTCCGTTAAACCTAGACATAAAGGTAGGAGATGTGAAAAGCCTGTTGCGTGTTGTGTTGTGTTGATAATTTTCTTTTTAACATCAAACATTTTGGCCACCTGATCACTGAAGCTTTGACCTTGAAAAACAGTAACCTTAAAGTGACCTATTTGCAAAATAGCTTGAAGGTGAAATGATATCTCCATGGCTATAAATAAAGTTATGAACCATTCAAAGAAAGTTACAAACCATTTTATTAAATAGTTGAACCTCAAAATATAACGCATGTCAGTGTGTGATGATTTATTTATATGGTTATTGACTTCATATGTCCTTGCACCTTCTTATGTGAGGGCGCTGTTCAATAAACATCCCGTTATGGGTATGCGTGGGATATATCCAACTTCATTCATCATTTCGTTTGGGCGGTAGTGAGTTATTATTCTATAAATCTAAACCTATAATATTTAAAACAAAAATTTGACCAATGACCTGCGTGTTTGTAGATATGACAAGGGAAATTTGCATATGAATGGACAACCTTTTATGAGACTAACTTAACAATTTATGTGGAGTGCCAAAATGACTCCATATGTGGAATGTCTCTTATTTGCATTCATTAATATTCATATGTGTAGGATACCCCAAACTTCATTCTGATTGTTGGGAGAAAAACAAATTATCATTTTTGGCTCTGATGTCGAACAAGTTGAGCGGAGTTAATCATATCACTAATTGTCTGTTATTTTCTTTGTGGACTTTTTATTCTCTGGCTTGTTGCCAGTGGGGGATATGGAAATGACCTGTATCCATCTGTATGGAGGAAATTGCACACTAGATCAGATCAACATATGACCATATATGGTCTTGTATGATTATGTGACCTCATTAAAAATGCATAAATGTCATATCTGAAGTACTAATGCAGATAGAGTCATTTGAGTGTTTTATTGAAGACATTGCACACTAGATCAGATCAAGATATGACATGACCATATATGGTCATATATGATCATGTGACCTCATTAAAAATGCATAAATATATCTGGAGTACTATTGCAGATAGAGACAATTGTAGTGTTTTATTGAAAACATTACACACTAGATCAGATCAAGATATGACATGACCATATATGGTCATCTATGATCATGTGACCTCATTAAAATGCATGTCATATCTGGAGTACTATTGCAGATGGAAACAATTGCAGTGTTTTACTGAAAACATTGTATACTAGATCAGATCAAGATATGACATGACCATATATGGTCATCTATGATCATGTGACCTCATTAAAAATGCATAAATGTCATATCTGGAGTACTATTGCAGATAGAGACAATTGTAGTGTTTTATTGAAGACATTGCACACTAGATCAGATCAACATATGACATGACCATATATGGCCATGTCACCTATTGAAAATGTATAAATGTCACATTTTGATCACTATTGCAGGTAGAGGCTTTCAACCACTGCTTTATTGAGTACATTGAGCTCATAATCTGATCAACATATATTATCTCCATATTTGGTTGTTAAAAATGTGCAAGTACTTACTTAGTAGACTCCTCTGCTGAGAGCTTGAGTTCATACTTGTATGCTATTTGATGTTTACATAATAATAATAATAATAATAATTTATTTCCCTTTGCTTCCTCCGATAGAGGTATGAGAGAACTAAATAATATACATTACATAATACAAACGAAAAAAGCATGTACATGGAAGCGTCACACGAAATAAATTTATAAATTAGAAGAAATGCATAATAAGGCACTAGCCCCAAATTACAAAAAGCAAGTAAATAAATACCCAACACAATTACTTTACAGTCACATCAGACTGCTCGGGGTGGGGTGGGAGTGGGATGGGATCTACTATCACTGATGACTTTCATGCTACATTTTTGACTTCCTGCTACATTTCACAAAAACATGTTGTGCATTTCTGTGCTCATTACCTGTAAACCCATCTACGCTGCAGCATTGAGATGGATATGGATGGTCACGTAACTGAGGGTACAAGTTACTATGCCACTGTATGTCTCTCTGACAGGTTGAATTTCTGTCATTGCAATATATTGACAAAATGTAGCAGGGATGTACACAATTCTTTTCCATTGGTCTTGTCCACCTTGTTCACGAAGTATGGCAATTTACAGCGAGTTTATTTTTCATTTCTATATTTCAAGATGGCGGCGATATCATTAAGTGCAAGTATTTGTCGATGCCTGATATTTTAACCAGGGTAGTTAATACGTGTGTGCAAAAACCACCCTGACTCTTATTGTTCGAAGTCTTAATTAACTATAGTCATTGCATACAAATTTGTACGTTCTGGGAGAAGAACAGGTTTTAGACATATCATGAAGATTGTGTGTTTACTTTGCTCTCCTTTGTCATTAATTAAAATATTACTTATTTTGACCATAGACAGGTGCTAATTTACATGCGCTAGTCAAATTGAGAAATTACTGTATTTTAATGTGAAGCATTTTCCATTAAGATTAGTCTGAGATGCACGCCAGACTCCGTTCAGTATTTATTTGTCGCTCACCAATTATGTCGGCTCTTACATGTAGCTGTAAAAAACGATGACAGCTGAAAACAACATTATCATAAATATTGTGTTTAAGCAACATGTGGATATTGATCTTTGGTATTTCGACCTTCCAGGTAAAGACCATAGTTGAAAGTCAGGTCATTGCTTGTAGAGTCATTTTTCTGTCGTATTTGAGTGGTGCGTGGCACAACATTACGAATACCAAAAGTAGAGCATCTGTGCATATCGTAGGTGTGTCATATTATGATAAGAGACTGATATATATATTACGGATATAGCTTTATGCATGTTTTTCTTTGTGAGCTTGTTTTTCAATTAAAATATCTTTCATTGGCACTTCATTCATTTCATTTTTGTGTCACCGCATGCGTTGTACAATACGCAGGTGTAAAGAATACCAGCGTGAGAATAATACAAAAGAAACAGAGTATAAAGACTTATAAATAACAAGAATTTAAAACCCCTTTCAAAGTAAGAAGGTATCCTATAAATATTCAGTTACTCTCACGCCACCGTAAAATTAGATGTGAACAGATGGTATTTTTCATATATGAAACAGTATGCTTCAAAATGTCTGAGTGGTAACAAGTGTTACAATTTGGGGGCTGGAAATAGAACTAGAAATATCCTGCAATTCCAGTTCGTTCACACTAGAGTCAGTGGGTGGGTGGTATGGCAGGTTGCACATCCTAGCAATTGAGATTTTTTTTTTGTTTGGCAATTAGAACAACCATAGATGTAGGGATTTTTAACATATTCAAATGATTTCACAACTTGTAGCAATTACTTTGCTTTTAACTGATTTTTCTCCTTACTGAAAATACATGTATAAATGATTCATTCAACCCTGCATTTACCAATGGTACTTAAGTTGATTTTGTAAATACCCGTACTGCTATTTTAAAAACTAAATATGTGATTGAACAGCTCTGGAAGCAGCATGTGTTGAATGATCAACCCCTAATCTGAAAAAATTTCGATAAAGAATCCTAATCTGTTTTGGTGAGCAAAACTTTGCCCAATGCACTTCAACATTCACATTATACTTGCCCATTTTACCAAGCCCTCTGAAAGTGCCCTCGATAACAACATGCTAATTCTAATGGCAACCTGTGCTGATGATTCAGTAAGGGAATATCTGATTGGTTGATGATTCAGTAAGGGAATATCTGATTGGTTGACATCAATAGACAGCTCCCAGAATGCAATTTCCATAGAACGTATGTTGCATCAAATATGCCGATATGTGATTTGCAAATGTACACACACAAAAAACAGCGCTATACCTGCTTTTAATCAGATTATACATAATAATGCTTTTTCATCAGATTTTATTTACAAAAAAAACACAGAAAAACCAATTGATCTATGACAAATATTTTTGTAGTATATTAAAAAAAGCTGTACAATGTTTTGATAGTTATCACATGAAAGAATTATTGTTTATTAATAATATTATTTTACAGTAGTAGTTTTGTTTCTATATTGACCAATTCCTTTTTAATTTGTTTACTTGTGTACATTATACATGATGGTAACAAGTGGAGCATTTCAACATTTTTTTTTTTAAATTTCCAAAAAAAAATCGTCAATCCCGCAGCGAAAATCATGTCAATTATTGGTTGTGATGAAATTGTTGAAAAAAAAAAAACATAAAATGTTTTAGTGGGAAAAATTGTGGTTTTCAGAGGTTGAAATGAGGTATAGACATAAGGTGGGAAAAGGTAAAAACCCTTTTAAATTTTTATGCGTTCTACAATAATTTCTTTTTTAAATTTTCATCCGAATGGACATCATTTCCAATCAGCTATATTTCTTGATAAAAATTTGTAAAAAATATTTTTTTTTGTGTGAAAGGTAACAAAAAGTGACATTGACATTGTTAGAATGAAGTTACACAGAATTTTACTTTATGAAGCCAACTCATTTTGTTTTACTTCTTTTACAAAACATGTGTGACTTTGAAATGTTTGTAGGTCATGGGAACATGGGTACGTGGAAGACAAACAGACTCTAGATACGTAATTAGTGCTATAATTCATCAGTTGAAACACAATATGGTGCACAGAGTGACACACGCTGTTAAGTCTGGTGTGCGTCTCAGACTTATCTTAATGGAAAACACTTCACATTAGGTCTCAGAAAAAATCCAAAAATCCAACTTGAGGATAGAAAGTGTAAGAAATGTAATAATGATGTGATGGAGGATGAGATACATTTCACTCTGTAATGTACATGTTTTTAAATTGAAAGACAATCTTAATTTCTAGAGTGTAACATTACTAATAAAATCGCAGGCCAGCAAAATGGAGATGTTTTTCTTAAAATAATGAAACATGATCTTGCCCTTCTCAAATTTTTGAAAAATACATTATTCAATGGAAATACTTGATTATGTAAATACGCATTTATGAGAGAACCAATGTCTTTTCTATGCAATGTCAGTTTTAGTATTTTATACTTTATTTTTTCTATT